AGAGACGGGGTCTCGCTCTTGCTCAGGCTGGTTTCGAACTCCTGAGCTCAAACAATCCGCCCTCCTCGGCCTCCCAGAGTGCTAGGATTACAAGCGTGAGCCACCGCACCCGGCCTCATTTATTTTCTATACTTAAGATATTGTCTGATTTGGGATGAGTCATATAATATAAAAGAAATCTTTAGCCCCCTTTGAAAGTGAGTTTACTAAGTTAATTATCACTGAGGTTTCAATAACCCTTTTATTGATATGAGTTGCTTTTTAGTCATATTTTATTCTTAAAGTGACAATGTGTATCTTTCAAATTTGTATACCTAAGTAATTTAAATATTATGTTTTATACAAAGAAAAATCTTTAAAATATATAAGCTATCAAACCCTCTTGAATCATAATTTATGAGAATAATAGGTATTTACCCATCTCAGATAAATATTTTTTCTCTCTTTCAACGTTTGACACTTTTTTCCTAGGAGGGAGGACTCTCTTGATGTGGAGGTTTCTGCCAGTGGCTACACAAAGGAAATGCAGGCAGATGATGAACTGCTTCATCCAATGGGTCCAGATGAGAAAAACATTGAAACAGAGGAGGGATCAGAATTCTCATTTTCTGATAAGGAAGTGTCAGAAAAAGCAAAGGTTTGTAGGTCAGAAAGTAAAAGTGAATGGGACTCTGTAGGTGAATCAGGTGGCTGTTGTTGCAGATCATCTGAAGACCTGGAACAAATAAAGGAAGACAGTTTGTCAGAGGAGAGTGCTGATGCACACCATTTTGAAATGACTGAATTCAATCAAGCTTTAGGAGAAATGAAAGGGCAAGTTGTTGAAAAAAATTCTGTAACTGAATTTTCTGAGGAGAAAAACAGAACCGAAAATTACACAAGGCAAGATGGTCAGACAGGTCAAGGAGAAACCCCTGCTGGCTCTGAAGAGTATGAAGATGAATGCCCTCATCTAATTACCTTGTCATCATTAAATAAAGAATTCAGGCCTTTCAGGTATAGATTTCTGTTAATTATTTTTTGACTTTAGTCTTGAGACCAATACTAACTTCAATTCTGGTAAATTAATGTTTTTTTCCAAATGATGTAGCAGAGTTGTATTCTGCCATTGTTAAGTGTAAGAATGAAAGCCAAATAACTTTTTTGTTGTTAAAACTCAAAATCCCTTCCTTTTCAAGGTATTTCAAGGTAACTGATGTGATTCTAGGCAGCCTATTGACTAAATTTCAAGTAATTGTGCCTTAAAATATAAACTGATAATTTTCGAAGAATTAATGTAGGTTTCTTGATAAATTGATCAAGTTTTAGATAGATGAGTTAATCTTCATATACTTTCACAATTACACATCTAATGTATGTTTGAGTTATATAAAGTCATGTAAATGTGTAAACACGCAGTAAATGTATTTTCTACATAAAACATCTAGAGTAAATTTTCTTCTGTCCTTTGTTCATGTATGGTTAAAATCATAATGTTTTAAGGATTTTTTTATGCAAATATTAATGAATCAGTCTCAGTTTAAATTAGCAAAAGTTCTAAAACTTAATTTTTAGATCTGGGATAGCTTATCTAGAATCAAATTATAGTTTAATGATATATTAACTTTACTTATTTCAAAATAGTAATATGACAGTTCAAATAAGATCAGCAATACATTTAGTAAGCATTTTCCATTACGTTCCGGTTAACTTCTTAAGGCTGCCTTTATCTTTATAGTTTTGTTTTTGAAGCAAAACCTGAGAATTTTGTTCCTTTTCCATATAACTCTGTATCTTAAGTCTCAGGTCTACTGCCATTTGAATAATAAACTTGGAAAATTAAAGCAAAAGCTTAAAGGGGTAAAAGTCAGGAGTGGCAGTGGTTCAGAATTTTGAGTAAGTATTAGTCTGGGGTTCTCCAGAGAAACACGACCAATAGGAGATTTATTATAAGGAATTGGCTCATATGATTATAAAGGTTGAGCTGTCCTAGGATCTGTAGTCAGCAAACTGGAGAGCCAGTGGTGTAGTTCCAATCCAAATCTGAAGGCCTGAGAACCGGGAGAGCCAATAGTGTAAGTTCCAGTGCAAATCTAATGGCAAGAAAAGACCGATTTCCTAGCTCAAAGACAGGCAAAGAGTGCATTCTCTCTTACACTACCTTTTTGTTCTGATCTGGCCTTCAATGTATTGGATGAGGCCCACCCACGTCGGAGAGAGCAATTTGCTGTACTCATTTTACCAATTCAGAAACATCCTCACAGACACACCCAGAATAATGTTTAACCAAATATCTCACACCCTATAGCCAGAATCAAGTCAACACATAAAATTAACCATCACCATATTAGAAGAAAATCTACATAGGGTTAAATGGTCTTTTAAGCTGAGAATGGGAGTAATAATTTGTTCTTTCTGGACACATGCTGGGCAAAACTTTTATTAGTCAAAGTAGAAGCAAAATAGCAAATGTGACTGAAAAATATTAACTCTTAGGAGTTAATGTCTGAGTTCTTATACATTGTACATGTTGAAACTTTCAACAATGTAAGAAATAGGTAGTTTAACAGAGCAGACTCATAGAGTAGTACTATCTGTTTCCATTATATCTACTGTCATTTTGGGAAGGTGGCAAGAAAATGCCTCAGAAATTTAGATTGTGAGAGGCAGATTTGTATAGTTCAGTGAAAGAAGAGGAGAAGATCAGTGGGAAAGGACATAAGAATTGTGGGAAAGTAATAAATTTCGATGACCAAGCATTCTACCATTTTGAAATTTTGGTAGTGACTATGACTATCAGAATGCTGATAAATGGAAAATTGTTAATATATTGGGCTGAATTGTAGGTAGTTTTACCTTCCCAGAAATTTGAAATATAATGATCTTTCAGGGGTATGTTATGTGTAAGTTTTACTGCCATGTAAGGAATAACATTAACTCAGGGTTAATTACATTATAAAAATTAACTGGGTAAATTGTGGGGTTTTTTTTTTTACTTTAGAGATGAAAAAAATCCAGGCGATGTTAATCAATATAGAACAAGAACTCTGAGTATTACTTCTACAGGCAGTGTTGTAAGCTGTTCAACAATTCCTCCGGTATGTATTCATTCAACATTTACCAAATGTTTATTAGGTCACTACTGTGGACAGATTCATGAGTTGAGGCACTGTGAGGATTATGATGTGTACAAGCCAGCCTCAGACACTTGGACCACGTATGTTAATGCTATAAAATTAGGTACAAATTTAGTGATATAATATAGAAGAGAGGGTTCACTTTTAGCTGGAATTATCAAACCTTGCAGGAAAAATGCAGTGTATAAATTTGTTTGAACTTGAAGGATTATAGAAATTTAGATACAAAGGGGGATTTTGTAGATTTTCATGTGGTTTAATCCCTTCATTTTAATGATGGGGACTTGAGTCCCAGATACGTTTTGTGACTTTGCTCAAAGTTACCTGGCTGGTGACAGCAGTGCGACTGAAGTGTGAAGGTGCACCAGCTTCACTGCCTAGTTTATTCTTAAATTTTGAAAGACAAAAAAGAGGTAGTTAGAAAATTTGGGGTATCAAGTTTTTGCTGGACCTTTGGGACATTTAGCAACAACACTCCAAGAAATTTCAAATGGGACACTTTCTGGACAGGACAATGAGCACAAATAGTCCAGCTCCTACTGAAGAGCTTTTTTGCTTGCCAAGCTTCTTTCAGAGGTACCCAAAAGAAAGAATTAAGTCTAGAGATGATAATGTTCCCCAGAGCAAAACCCTTCTCACTGGCCTATGGAGGTAGGTATTGTCACTCCTATCCTCTGATACCAGTATTATGAAAGTATGCCACTCTTACTTACCATTTAGGAATAACATGGATCTCCAAATACCATAATTCCTCTGGAGAATGAAACACAGCTATTCTTGGTTTTCTTACTACTTTCCTGAGTCTTTTGGCAGTCAGTCAGCAAACTCTAGTGTGTAAGCCTATAGTACACATTATTGCCTTTATTTATGGATTAAGCAATATTTTGAAAATTAGATTTCAAATTTTGTAGTTTGAGTTTTCTAAAAAAGCCTTTTCTGTCTAACATTAAGAAAGTAAAGCAACATAGTAACATCAGTTTTTTTCATAAATTAAAACTATATAATTGGTGTATTGAGTTTTTTCCTTCTACTTAAGGTAGTACTACTGAAGCCAATTTTTAGTGATAATTTTACTTAAAATAAGCAAAAGAAGAAAATCAATTTAGAAGGTTTAAAAAATAAAGAGGAAATAAAATGATTACATAGAAAGAAAATTTAAAAGAAAAGAAAATAACTTTTTTTCCTAAACTTCTTTTTTTTTTTTTTTTTTTTTGAGACAGAGTCTCACTCTGTTGCCCGGGCTAGAGTGCCGGGATGTCAGCCTAGCTCACAGCAACCTCAAACTCCTGGGCTCAAGCAATCCT